TGATTCCGCCCCCCCCCGACCAACCAGTACCTGACGACATGTCATCTTTTGCTGCATAAAGTATTTTCTCCCTCAACGTGAGCATACATATATTAAGTGTTTCTTCATAGTTGAAGATCAACTGTAATTTTGCTTGGTAATTTTTCTTGGTAGCTGAGAGGCCGATAAACAGAATCTTTTACAAGTTATAAACCAACATTTCCCTTGTGATTTACATGCATGCTATTGATAAAGTTAGTGCAATCACTACTTCTGGGCATCTGCCCCTCTAACAAGTTCAGAGAACTTATCCTTAATCCTTAACACAGACATTACCTGAACTCTTCACCTACAGGACTGCCCATAATGAAAGAAAAGATGACAAACTTGACTATTTAAATTACAATCTTCCGGAATAAAGCACTGATCAGATTTTGGAGAAAGGCGAGGACATGATATGGTCTCCCTAATTTAAGCACACACGCTCACAGGTTTAATAACTACATGTATCACGATGTATGCCAACCGGCACCGTGCTGAACTGGTCGTGTAGGTTTTCTACCACGTGTTCATGCTATTACTGCGTCGAATATTCTTCTGTCCCCGGTTGGCCTTTATTCCGGTTCCAACAGATGATGTGGTTGTTGTATGTATATATATGCAAATACACCATCTTCGTTGAGTCAGGTGATTTCATACAGCGATCATCAAATGTCACGGTTACTCGGATAAGCTTACGTGAATAAGCTTCCGAGATGCTGGCCTTGTACTGATTTCAGAAAACACGTTTCCACTTATTCGAGAGATTACTGATGAAAAAACTGTCCGGATTTGCTGTATGCAAAGCTGAGGCCTGTGGTGACAAATCCATAAGAAGGATCGAAATTAGTCTGCGCAACGCAGTATACACGTTAACACACTTAAGAAATACCAACCTGTAAAACCCTAGCTTAGCGCTGCACAAGAAACGAGCACCGATCACGTCAAAACGACCTCTTCTTGCCACTGACGTAGAAGATATAAGTTCTCCTATATCAGGAAGAAACATTCAAAACAGTGCTGCAGATTTGATGGCTGCCCCCTCCCGTTTACCACCATAAAAACCTCCTAAGAGAACCAACATATCTGTATTTAATAAGAAGATATCAGAACGCCGCCACATCTACAGAGACTTTCTCATTATCAGACACCGTACATATTCTAGAGAGGTTCTCAAAAGGCAAACTTCAGAAGCGGCGGTACAAAAGCGGTAGAAACCTTCCTCAAACACACACCGACAACTGTCCATTTACAAGCAAGACAACCTGAACGACCCGATCGTTGACTCACACGCTAAACCTGTGCCACATTAAGTAATGTTTTATACGGCCAAATCGAAACTTGGATCTAGCAATAATTACGTTCATATTAAAAACGACATCAATGCTTTTAGCTATTTTACCGTTAACGACAGTTCGAATTTAACAAATGCCCTTTAAGCCGCGCTTCCATACGGTCGCATCGAAAAGTCTCCTTGACCGTTTAGAGTCAAATCAGTCTCTTCAAAAGTACAGACAAAGAGGAAGATGCTTAGAGATGAGTCTCTCGCCTGCCTATAGCACATATGTTAAACTATAACTCGTAAGGCGAGGTGAATTCGGATTGATATGAAATGTGTTCCACATCTTCGCCGTCATCTAAATTGAGGGACATTGTACGGTGGCACTTTGGTACTCGGTGACTGACCTGAATTGCGCTAAACATCAGGTACGTTAATTTGCATCCATTATACGCCACTACTCGAGTGGTAGTAGGCCTACTTCTAACTGCCGCGTATTCACCGGCATCTGGTCGATACTTCAACTTACGGACAATGCTGTTTATCACTATACAGTGTTAAGTATAAAACGACAAAGACTTTAGATAAAGCACGGTAAAAGCATAATTGCATTAAATATCCCGGCTCCAAAATCGTACTTACACTACTTGAAAGTGACACTTAGCACGGTGGCGACGGCTTTCCAAGACGATGTACAACTGATCGTCTAGGCTGTGGCAGGTTAAAAAATGCTGCGAATGCTTGAGAAATACACGCGGTCAAGCGGACGAAACAAATCTCACCAACCGCCCCCCCCCTATGGCCAACGTAGTGAGTTATTCAGAAAATATAAAAGTACAAAATACATAACGGCACAGTGCAACTAGTCTGGTACGTCGAGTCAGATCCGCTAACGGCTGTAAACACAATCGAAACAATCATGTCAGCATGAGAACCGTACCGCAAATTACTTGCACGAGTCCGAGGGAATAGTACCGAGGACAAACTTACGCTGAAGTCTACTAAAACCTTTCAAAGTGACAGAGCCCATATAACGCCTGTACCGCTTTCGATCACAACAGCGAGTATGCTCTGTCTTGAGACTGGATCAGTCAAGTCAAAGGCTAACGAAAGCAAAACAACGTGAGAGACCAACAGGCAAACAGAAAAAGTAACTGCCCATCCGATGTGACAATTAAATCATATTTTAGAGCAAGAAGGCGATCACCGGACACAAGTGCTTCAAAACAGCAAACACTAAAGTTCAAGTTTAGCAGTTATTAAACCGCACAGAATGATGATCACTTCCATAACTGAAGTAGAAACTTCAAGTTATGTCATATTCTCAATTTAAAACAGAATCATAATGGAAGAAAGTTCCACGTGTGGGATAACACTGAAATCGTTGAATATTACGATCATAACAAAGGCCATATTATACAGGTCATGTACAAAAGACTTATTCCGGAAAACCATACCGGGAGTTCAACGAATACCGTTTGGAATTCATAAAGTTCCGCTGATAATAACTTATCTCAAATCAAGAACTGTTTCCATGCTGTTTAAATACGCATCAACGACATACAAGGCACAAGTAGGTAAAACGAACTGCCTGCAAGAGAACCGAAATAGCGCCATTAAAAAAAATACTGATCAATCCATAGGCAAGGTTTTGCTGATTTCGACGGCATATATAATTTTTCATCTTCAAATCGGAGGGCATATTACGATAGAGAGACTGTAGCTTGAACCTGACAGAGTCAAACTATATATGACATCAAATACAGATAGGAAAAAAGGAAAGTCTGCAACCTCTGGGATGCGATTTTTCACACCCCCACTGCGGAGCCCTTTACTTGAAGAAACTCACGGTGCAATATCGGTGTCCCTTCCTTTGCCCATTATTAGGTACATATTATCAAATTCGGAAGGAATGCAGGCGAGTTACCTGACTTGGGATTGGAACCAGGGAACTGTCGGCTTCGAGAGTTCCATGCTCTACCGACTGAGCAAACTCCGTCTACAGACGTGGAGAATATTAGTGAAACTTGATCGACAATGAAGTCGAAAAGATGCAAAGTAGATTCTGGAGACTGCAAGACGACGCGGAATAAAAAAGCTCGTGGTAATCTTAGAGTAAAAATAACTACTATAGGGAGACAAAACAGGAATTTTGGTGAAAAGGGTTAAAACGGCTTTCGAAGCAACTGATGACTGACAGGGAAAAGAAAGGCAAAACTTTAACTGCAAATGATAGCAGCTAATTCGCGTCCTGAAATTCATAATTATCGATGGGAAACAATATCTGTGTTATTTTCTAGACTGAACTGCGACGGAGCAAATCTAAAAGGTTTCTTCAAAGAGGGTCTGCATCTGTGGCAAAAAATAAATTATAGCCCAATTAACCAGTCTCAGATTTTACATTCAGTTACCGGTCGAGTAGTGTGATCTTTTGAAGAGAGCCTTAAGAAAGTCTCTTTGTCTCTTTCTTGACACGCGTCATGTGCCAAAACCTGATTCCTCAAATAAGCACAATTCTGCACTTGTACGATGATCCGTCGGTCAACAGTA